CTGCCTGCTGTGCTTGGGGCGGCAAAAAAGCTAGAGCCGCCCCTGGTGTTGGCTTGTAGCTATGACAAGAACATCATATATGTAACACTAGCCCTTTGCTTCCAGAGAGACAGGAAATGTAAGTGCAGTTCCTGGAGCTGCTTGTTCGTGGGGTCTGTTCAGATGAAAAACGGAATGTTTTCATCTTCACTGAAGTACTGAAATATTTTTCATAATTTTTCATTAGTTTCTGACAATTTTTGTTGTTGCTGATTTCTTTTAATAATTTTAAATAAACTTGAAACTGGTCTGTTGAACTTTATCTGTTGTAGTCAGGCAATTATTGGCGACATCTCCTTTGAAAACTATTTACACAAAAATTAGTGGAGAGGTCAATCTTGAGTATATCTAATACAGTGGATTTTCTGAAAATACATATTTAGACTCTGTTGCTGTTATTCTTTATAAATGAAAGTTTATCTTTCAACAGCGGCTGAAGAATAATCTCCTTCATTTTGAAAGAAATTCTTTCTGAATTTTTCTGGTCAGCTTCTCCCATTATTCTCAAATCTCTTTCCCCTTGAGAGGCCAGCCTTATTTCATCCTGTTTATCAAGCCACCTCCCTCACCCCAAACTAACAGTAAAGGAAGAAGGCAGTAGTTGTGAAGGTGGTGTGCACAAGGGAAGGCTGTAGGAGTAGTTTGGTAAACCACGTACTAGAAGGCTGACATGCGTAGGGGGGATAATTAATGCTGTGGTATGTGGACTATGGTATACGGCAGTTGTGGAAATGATATGGTGTGTGACTATGTGTGAGGGAATAAAAGCTATGCACTGTTAGGTGGCTTAACTTCACTTCCCTGCTTACATAGTTTTGTGTACCTGAGGGATGTATGTTTTTGCTACTTGTTACTAGGGCTGTCAATTAATCACAGTTAACTCATGCAATTAACTCAAAAAAATTAATTGCAATTTAAAAAAGCAATAGAATACCAATTAAGCAATAAAATACCAATTAAAATATATTAAATATTTTGGATGCTTTTCTATATTTTCAAATATATTGATTTCAATTACAACACAGAATACAAAGTATACAGTGCTCACTTTATATTTATTTTTGATTACAAATATTTGCACTGTAAAAAACAAAAGAAATAGTATTTTTCAATTCACCTAATACAAGTACTGTTGTGCAATCTCTTTATCATGAAAGTTGAACTTACAAATGTAGAATTATGTACAAAAGAAACCTTCATTCAAAAATAAAACAATGTAAAACTTTAGAGCCTACTAGCCCACTCAGTCCTACTTCTTGTTCAGCCAGTAGCTCAGATAAACAAGTTTGTTTATATTTGCAGAAGATAATGCTGCCTGCTTCTTGTTTACAATGTCACTTGAAAGTGAGAACAGGTGTTTGCATGGCACTGTTGTAGCTGGTGTCGCAAGATATTTACATGCCAGATGCGCTAAAGATTCATATGTCCCTTGATGCTTCAACCACCATTCCACAGGACATGTGTTCATGCTGACAGCGGGTTCTGCTTGTTAATGATTCAAAGCAGTGCGGATCAACACATGTTCCTTTTCATCATCTGAGTCAGATGCCACCAGCAGAAGGTTTTCTTTTTGGTTGTTTGGATTCTGTACTTTCCGCATCAGTCTTGCTCTTTTAAAATTTCTGAAAGCATGATCCACACCTCATCCCTCTCAGATTTTGGAAAGCACTTCAGATTCTTAAATCTTGGATCAAGCCGTAGCTATCTTAAAAGTTTCACATTGGTATCTTCTTTACATTTTGTCAAATTTGCAGTGAAAGTGTTCTTAAAATGAACAACATGTGCTGGGTTATCATCCGAGACTGCTATAACATGAAATATATGGCAGAATGCGGGTAAAACAGCAGGGGACATACAATTCTCCCCCAGGAGTTCAGTCACAAATTTAATTAATGCATTATTTTTTTAACGAGCATCATCAGCATGGAAATATGTCCTATGGAACAATGGCTGAAACATGAAAAGGTATATATGAATCTTCAGCGCATTTGGCACGTAAATATCTTGCAATGCCGGCTACAACAGTGCCATGCAAATGCCTGTTCTCACTTTCAGGTGACATTGTAATTAAGAAGTGGGCAGCATTATCTCCTGTAAATGTAAGCAAACTTGTTTCTCTTTGCAATTGGCTGAACAAGAAGTAGGACTGAGTGGACTTATAGGCTCTAAAGTTTTACATTGGTTTCTTTTTGAGTGCGTTTTGTATTCTGTGTTGTAATTGAAATCAATACATTTGAAAATATAGAAAAGATCCAAAAATATTTTAAAAAATTTAAATTCTATTATTGTTTAACAGCGCGATTAATCGCAATTAATTCTTTTAATCACATGATTAATTGCGATTAATTTTTTTTAATCACTTGACAGCCTTACTTGTTACCCATTAGCGCTGCAGACAACGCATCTATGGAACAGTGAACTGGACTCCTTTCAGACTTGCACATTGACAACAGAACTGTCAACTATGTGCTGAATGCAAAAATCTTTATTACTGGTGAATATATGCAAGCCAGAAATAACACAGCTTGAATTTAAGATCCCAGATAGAAATTGAATGTTGAATGGTAGGGAAAATACACCTTTTTATGTGTAAATTGAGAAAATCTGAACTGAAGGTCATGAGGATACAAACATAGAACTCTACAATACCATTTGCATACAATTACTTTGCAGAGTAAAACTTCACTCTTAAATAAAATCTCACTGCCAAAAGTGCCAACCTGCTTTTTCAGCTAAACGGAGTTGAAGTAACAAGTGAAGTTCTTACACAAAAAAACAAAAATACTCACACTATTTATTTTGCGCTCACTTCTGGTCTATACCTTAATCTGAATAGATGAATAAAAATTGTAATTACTTACTTATACAGAAGGTTGTCTTTCACTAACTGTCAAGAAAAAAAAGAATTCCGTTAGTTTTTAAATAAAAACATTCCTACTTAAAGCCAAAGAGTAACTTAAAAAAAACCCTACTGTACCTTTGAAGGAACATAAGAAGAAAAGATCGAGAGCAATTTTGACTCTACTGATAATGGGGGCAGTGAATCCAATGGTATACCCATGACTAATTTTTCTCTCATGCTTTCATACCTAGCCTTCAGTTCTTCAAAAACAGACAACAAAGATGACCCTAGTTCAGTCTTGGAAATGTCACTTTTAAAATTCCTGAAAAAATATAAAAAAGCACTTCAAATACCTAATAGGACATTCCTGTTATATTATTGCTTCAAGAATTATCAAAAATATGTTATGGTGCCTTAAGATTTTTCATGTCCCTGCACCTCCCCCACCACATACGAAGAAATCTATTATTTCGAATAAATGTTAGCTTAAACCATCTTGGTCTTTTGTGATCTCTAATGCAGTTTTATGTGTGGACTTTCCTTTTTACAAGAATTTCTTTTTTTCGATATAGATTCTTGCATCGAAGTGTTATGGGACCCTTTGAAAGAATGCTTATTTGTAATTATTTAAAAGTCTTAATAAAAATAAATTTAAAAAATACAATAGGATAATTTGTTTCCTATTTGTAAATTTGTCTTTTCATTAATACTCACCAATCCAGAGTTATTTCTGCGTAAGATCCACCCTTGGGATCAACTGGAGACAGCTGAGTCTAATTTGTTTCCCCAGGGCACAGTAAGTGTATTAAAAGGCAGATTGAACTATACCTCCCTCAAAGATAACAAATGGATCTTAAATCACTTTAAACAATCCCAAAGAATTCCTCCAGACTGGTGGGCATTTAGTTTAAGAGAATACAAATTGAAGATAAAACTGAACATTGTTCTATTTTCTTTCATGGTCTATCGACCTGGAGTCTGAAGTGGTTTTGGATGCAACTTCCTAAGATTTTTTTTTTCTAAGCAAACTAAAAAATCATATTCCATCATGCAGAATCATACTGACCTCCACATGGGTCATCAACAGGATGGGGGGCTCTAAATCCACTGCACAGAACTCTAATCATTTGAGCTTACAAAGTAACTAGTAGGAACAAGCTGTTACCCTTTATGTAGACAAACCAGCAAGGGAGGATGAAACGCAAACTTTGCCAATGGGTTGCAAAACTATTTGCTAGCACAAGAAGACTGTGAGGCTCAGGAATCATGGGTTCAATTCCAAGTTCTGAAGAGGAAGTGTGATTTAGTGGTTATAAACTCTTTTGTCCCTGTCCCAGCCTCAGCCCCAGCCTGTCTGACCCTTTTACTCCTAACCATCCTCAGGATCCTATCCATGTTCCCTCTTTTCTTCTCCCCTACCCATCCCTCTCCACTGCTCAGTACGAATCTGCACCTATTCATTCTTCCAGCTCCTTTCTCCGTCTCACTCGGCTTCTATTTCCCCTGTGCCTCTCTGTTCCTACCCTAGCTCTCACCCTCGGGCATTTGCATCAGGCTGTTTCCTCCTCCTCTGTGCTGTCTGGGCACCAGCAGTGGTACAATGATAGCATAGGAGACTTCCTATTCTAAGTTCCAGGACCTGGCACTACGGTGTCCACACCAGCTCCTGGAAGGGAGCATGTTCAGTCACTCTGCAAAGACTTTCCTGTAACTTTGTTCTTGGAAACAAGTGAACCGAGTTAGCTGAAATTTTCAAAGTGCATGCACAGCCTGAGGCAAACACCTGCTATGGAAAATTTCAGGCTGAATGGTTAAAGTATGACAAAGTGATAAGCAACTGAAAACAGGCTCTAATAATGGAAAGTGTCAGGCAATCTCCACTATATGCATCACTACCTGTTCCACCTATAATAAAGCAGTCCTATTCAGCAACTAATGCCCTTCCAATAGTACTTAAACAAAACACAAAATATTACCGCAGGGACAAAAGTAAATAAAGAATTAGGCCAGTTATTACTAGCAATTTGAGCTCTGTGGCAAACACCACCATCTTCTGATTGGGTCAAAATACTCTGATGTTTTGGCATTACACCCTAAGAATATGTCTTCAGCAGAACTGATTAACTGGTCCAGTTAGTGTATTTGAATAAATATTACAACTACATGTGTACAAGAATGGTAGTTAGCAGTGACTAATATTAATTATATTTGGAATATTTTAATTTCACAAGATACTATCAAATAAGTAACAGTTATTTGGTTGACGCTCAAATGGATTTTAGGAAAGCATTTGCTGTTGCTCTCTTTAGATTAACGAGCGGCTGGATTTCTTAAATTCTATCCTATTGAAGAATATTACATATCTGTTTTAGTCAAGAAAAATAAAATTAATGCATGCCTGTTAAAACATTCTCTTTCTTCCATAACAAGTCTGTAAATCTTCCAGCAGTGCTGATGACACATCCAATAGTGAGTTCTTAGAAGCTGCAATTCTGCTTTTATAGCTCTCTGCAGCAACATCCTACAACAGTTTGATGAATAATTCTTCTCAATTTCTTTGCTAAGATGCAACATCCTTTAAAAGGAAAAATATATTATTGAACTGATTAAGCGAGAGAATATTTCTTAATTTATTGTGTATGTATTATCTTGACATTTGTATAACTTTCAGAAGGTATTTCTGACTACATTTTAGAAGGAAAACTTGAAACTTAAAATCAGTTAATTCCTACTCTCCACTAGCCAAATAGGAAAAACAGTACTCCGCAGTATCAAGCATGGTGGCTTTCACGTTATATTGATCCCTAACTAAGAGGAGGAAATGGCACTACCACTCTAGTCATCTTTAGGCAGAAAGTGCAGTCATAAAAATTAAATGAAGCTCAGTGGCTCTGTTAATCTTCAGAGCAAGCATTCTAAATAATATTTTCGTTGAATTCTTAATTTGCTTATTCAGAGAACCTGAAAACTATTAAGTAAATTCTACATTTATCACTGAGCATCCATAAATACAAATATTTACAATTTATGACATACCTGTCAGGATTTTCTCTTAAATCTCTGACACTCAACTTATTTTTCAACTCCAAAGGATCCTAGAAACAATAATCATTTAAAAGAAAATAATTATACAATCTGCATTTACTGACATTGAAAGAGTTACAAATATAATTATTTTGTTTTAAAAAAGGAGTTTATTTTGAGTTGCTCAGTGAGCTCAAAATTACCTTAATTTGTGAATTCCATTCAGTTGTTGGGATTTCACTGTAGATACAATTTTCCCATGTCTCAGCAAGCCATGAGGCAATCTGCTCCATACTGCCACCTACACATGACAAATCTGTATTGCAGGCAATACTTCTACAGGTCTCACTCTGCCATTCTTCAGACTTGATTTTATTCATCATTGTTAACTTTGTGTTGTTTGCTTTAGATACCACAGAAGCATTAGCACTAGTAGCTCTGCTTGTAGTGAAACAAGCCCTAAAATCAGAACTTGCATCAACACTCTGGTTAACTGTAACTTTATTATTACTTGTAGCATTATTCAAGCATGTGAGGCACTTGATTTCTGAGTCAGGAAAATCTACTTGATGTCTGGTACTATTACCAGCATACTTATCTAGAACTTCCACACAAGACAAATGACCATCTTTCATTGGAATTCTGGGAAGTGCAAAAGAAAAATCTGGTTTCCTTTCAACAGTCTTCTGGCTGTAATCATGACAATCAGAATTAAATGCAGACAAAAATGATTCTTCACAACTACAAGAAATTGAATCGTCTGCATTTTTGCTAGAAATCTGTGTGGATGTCACAGAAGGTCTTTCCCGTGGTAATACACAAGTATTTCCATGCTTCTGCAACATGCTGTTAGTATCTTTCATTTTAAACCCTTTTTTTATAGCCATTTGTGATGACTGTGCAACATCACAAAAAGAAACAGCCTCCATCTTTTGTTGATTTTCTGAACTGCTCATGGAGAGTGATTTTTGATAAGCCCTTTCTCTATTCACAACAGTATCACTTTCAAAGGAATTTTCACCAAGTTTACTATGATATGTAGCTTCAGTTTGTTCCTCTTCATGATTTTCACATTTCAGGCCTTTGTAATCCATCAGTGATATGAAGTCCTGAGATGTTTTTGAGAATTCTGGTATAGCTGCTTTATTATAAAACTCATCAACAGCACCATAATCCAAGGCAAAAGAACCATCACCTAATTTGCTAACAGGATTTTGCCCACCTTTGGCTCCATCACATATAACTTCATAAAGTGGCTCTACCAACTCCAGAGCTTCTGAATTTTGTGTCCTTGGAGTTTTAATTTGCGCAAAAGGCATATATGAGGTATTTTGACCAGAATAATCTTGCTCTTCAGCACTGTGATACTCTAGTTGTGAGTCTTCATCTACATCACTCTTGGGTCTGTCGTCACTCTCCTTGTAACTGAAATGTATATTGTTGCAGACCTTTCCCAACATACCAGCTTCACTTTTGTCTTCATACACTTTGGAAATCCTCTCTCTTATTTTATTGTAAGTTTCAAGTTCTGCATCTAGTGATGAACTGAAACAAGCTAAGCTTTCATCTGGAAACTTTAATTCTGAGACATTTATGGAACATGCCTGGCCTGAAACAGAGCAGTTGACGCCCTCTGCAAGTTCACCGAACAGAGTATCAACACAGTCAATTTCATCAGACTTGTCTATAGCATAGGATGGCTCATTGAAGACTCCTGTTTTACTCTTATCACTGATGTTTTCTCTTTGTTCCATGGTCCAAGTATCAGAGTTGTCACTAGAAGCAATCAGCTCAAACACAGTTTCCTCCAATTCACTTTCACTATAAAATCTTGAAATCAACAGCTTGTTTTTATTTATTGGTTTCTCACCTGATTAAAAATAAGAAGAGAAGTTCAAAATGATCTATTCTGCACAAAAATGTCAATGTATAAAACATGTTGTCAGATAAAATAGAAGTGGTATCATGCTGTGATCAACTATGTTGTGATAAAAGTCAGGGTTGTATGGTGTGTTCTCTAGAAACAGAAAATCTCACTGAGAAGTCATCAGGTAAACCATGAAAAAACCCCAGAAAGATTTGCTATTCTTACTTATTTTAAGTATAATGAAAACACATATTATCTAATATAATTCCAGGCATCCCCACAATCCAGTTAGATTTAACACTGCTCCTTCTCTTATCACTCAGGCAAAGGGGGCAAGGTAAACTTTCCATCTTCTCACACTTAAAACTTTTTAAGGCTCGGCTTGACAAAGCCCTGGCTGGAATGATTTAGTTGTGGTTGGTCCTGCTTTGAGCGGGGGGTTGGACTAGATGACCTCCTGAGGTCTCTTCCAACCCTGATATTTTATGATTCTATGAAATATTTATTTCTTAGCTGAACCACGAGTTCTTTTTTTACTGGTATACAGTGAGAAATTTACATCATACATTACTAAAGTCATGATAACATGCAAATAGTTTTGATACAGTATTGGAGTAACGTTGTGGCAGAGGAGACTTCTGATACCCCAGAAACCATTTTAAATGAGTAGTAGAGCTTGTCTAAAAAAAGGCAGGTAGAAGTGAAAGAGTGGAGTCCTATGTCTCCCAAGAACCAGGAATCTTGCAAGTGCTGACAGAAAGCCACCTCCTCATTTCAAGGATGGACATGGTATAATGTCCTACCAGGAATATATCAACTTGGAATGGAACCGCAAACTGTGAGGGGAGGTGAGATAGGTAAGTGGGAATCCTGTAAAAAGTTAACTTCAAAGAAACAAAGTTACAAGTAATTTCTTGTTCCTTAAACATACAGTCATCAAAATATTCCCACTTATTATGACTCAAAAGATTGAAACACATCTCAAAATAAAACAATACAATAGGCAGGGGAAAACACAGCTGGAGCCAAACAGCCAGAGACTTTGCTGAAAAGTGGTCAGAGATCAAGAGCATTGGCTGCATCACACCAAATTTCTCTTGGTACCACCTGTACATGGTGTTGTGGTGGGGGCAGTTTTACCTGGGAAGCTGGAATTTGCGGAAACCCAAAAAATCTTCAGAGCTAAGGGGGAAATCTCACCTGTCTCTTGTTAGGAGCACAAGCCCAAAGAGAAGATATCCTGTAATTAGGGTGTTTTGCTTATTTATTTATTTATTTACAGTATGGTGAACAAAAACAAGCTTCTTAGAACTTGATGAAAAACTCCTGCAGTAAAAGGATTAATCTCAACAGAGGCGAAAGCCACCCGACACTTCTTTTGAAGAGACAGTAAATAGTCCAGTGTGCTTGGAACAGAGCAAGATTGAAGTGGCTATACTGCTGTTTCTGGCTCAATAGGAAACCACTAAGTATAATTTTGTCTAACAGATAGATGGCTTATGACATTTATGACAAACTTGCTGAACGTCATCTGAGCTTTGGAAATCTATATTTACCCAGGTGTAAAGCTCCATATTGCTAGAAGGAATGAATCTGGATCTAGAAGACAGATTTGACCCTAACTTCTGAAACAAGCACTGAAAGGGTGTCATAAGGAGGAGGGAGAAAACTTGTTCACCTTAGCCTCTAAGGATAGAATAAGAAGCAATGGGCTTAAACTGCAGCAAGGGAGGTTTAGGTTGGACATTGGGAAAAAGTTCCTAACTGTCAGGGTGGTTAAACACTGGAATAAACTGCCTAGGGAGGTTGTGGAATCTCCATCTCTGGAGATATTTAAGAGTAGGTTAGATAAATGTCTATCCGGGATGGTCTAGACAGTATTTGGCCCTGCCATGAGGGCAGGGGACTGGACTCGATGACCTCTCGAGGTCCCTTCCAGTCCTAGAATCTATGAATCTATTGTATTCATCTATTGTATTTTCAATCAACTATGAGAGATGCCTCTTGTCTGATAAATCCAATGAAATAAATAAATGCATGAGGCAAATAGCAAACTTCATACTGCTCAATCCGTTTGATCACCCACCCACTAGCTCATTTCAATATCAAATATTTACACAATAAATTCAGAGAACTTCATTAATGTAATGTTATGATTGAGATTTTAAATATAGAAAGTCATGAAATTCTGTGTTATGTTGTCCAGTGCAATCATTTCTCAGCCTCATTGAACATAATGGCCCCAATTCCGCACGTCTTAAACAGGAATACAACTTATTACCCACTCACAAAACATTTAAATTTTGTCCATCAACTTTAATGCCTTAATTTTAGGGCTTAGTTACATTTACAGGTAAGGACTAACAGGTATATCTACCAGTTCTAATACTTCAGGCTTTTCTGACTAGCACATTGGAAACAAACAGTAAAATTGTAGGAATGGAAAATAAATTACTTCCCCCATCCTCAGGACAGTAACTCAAAATCAAATTTAAAAGATTAACACAGAAAAGCAGGATCTGAAGGTAAATCTCTCATCCCGCATTAACCTCTGTACGATCTACAAAAAAGCAAATTTATCTTCTGGGATTAAAAAAAACGTGACTTTTGAATGTCTGTTTTCTACTAACTCACTCTACATAACTACCAAACTAACATTGTCAATATTATGTGAACATGCAAATGTACAGTAGTATATATTTCAAATTAAAATCCAAGCCTTAAATCAAATTTGAGCTATACTTATAAGCAGTGATAGTGTAAAAATGGAAGAGGGAAATGTCTTTCTATTACTTAATCCTCTGAAAACTTGTGCTGCAACATCAGTTGTAGGTCCCTGCTCGCTATTTTGCTAACTATACTTTTGTTGCAGCAACTGCAGAGGTTCAGGATGGAAAAAGGCATCTGAAAATAGAGGAAAAGATTCATGATGAAGAATCTGCCTTAGGGCATGCCTACATGAAGACTACGTACATGGCGAACAGGGATGTAAATCTACAGTGCTTTCACCTGTCATGTGCTAAATTGCTGTGGGGACACTGCTCTAATGCCTTGAAAGTTCTGTGGTGCCCATTGTGTACTGGTGTTTCAAAAATACAAATACTAAGGCCATGATCCTGCTACTTGTTGAGTGGACAGACCCCAACTGATTTCAGCGAAGCTCCACATGGGCGTAGCGGTCTGCCTGTGTAGAGTGAATTACAGGATCAAGGTCTAACTACCCATTTCCAATATTTTATGCTGTAGACAGTGTTGCCTTTAGATACAAGACCTTCTGAAAAACATAGGGAAAAAGCAACTCAATAAAGTTTTGAAAAATCTGATATTTGGAATATTTGGGAAAATCTAAATGGCAACTGTCAGGAAAGTCTCTCCTTCTGACATGGAAACCTTTTAAACAAATACTACGTACATGCTTAACAATACATTTAGTCTCCCATGGCACTTCCAGAAAACATCTGCATGTTTTCCAGATGTTTAAAGAAATCTCTTAATATTCCCCCCAAATGTTTTTTTAAATGAGTAATGTACAAGACACTGGATAGCTCTGATGTGTGCTGCAAACCGACCCCCAAACCAAACAAGAAGCTAAAAACCCAAGCAACAAAACCCCAATTAATCTGAAGCATACAGTGCACAACTTCTACATAATCAAAGAAATCACAAGTGTCCATCTTACTTCATGCTTCCTAAATTTAGTCCACTCAGCTTTGTAAATATGACATTCACATCATCCCTGCTGTTCAACAAGCTGTTCAATATGTCCTAGTACAGTAATGTTTAGTGTTTCACAGTGCTATTTAACAGTTATTAACTTCAAACAGACTTAATTTTGAAGACTGAGGTTCTCCAAATATTTGTCTCAAAACAATTATTTTACAAACAGGCACATACTTATTAATTTCATTAAGAAATGTAATTTAGACCTTAATCCAAAAATTTATTAGGTGTGGAGCCCCATTGACTACAATGCGGGGCTCAGTCACACTCAGCAATTCGCAGGTTTCAGGTCCAAATTAGATTATTTAACTGAAATAAAAGGATACTCATTATGAGTGCTGAAGGGGCAAAAATGCCACTGTTGTGTATTTATCTATCTTAAGGTCTTACACAGCCCATTTCTGGAGTACCTGAGCATCTGAGAAGCTTTAATGTATTTATCCCCAACGTAGGCAATGCTGTTATCCCCACTGGAAAGATTGGGAAGCAAGGCACACAAAGCAAGTCTACACTACAAAATTAAGTCAATCTAAGTTACATCAACCTACAGCCACCACAGTAATTAAATTGCTTTTGCATGTCCACACTATGCTCCGTGTGTCACTGGTGATGCATCCGAAGAAGTGGGTTGTAGCCCACGAAAGCTTATGCTCTAATAAATTTGTTAGTCTCTAAGGGGCCACAAGTACTCCTGCTCTTTTTGCGGATACAGACTAACAGGGCTGCTACTCTGAAGCCCTCAGTGTAGACACAAGCTGCCTTACGCTGACCTAGCTCTGGAGTGTAGTAGGCCGCGCTGACTTGATGACTTGTCAAGGTTACACAGGAAACCAGTAGCAGATCTGGGAACTGAACACCACTCTCCCGATTTGCAGACGAGAAACCTACCCCTGGCAGCACATGTTGCAGGAATGGGTGCTGGGGGGGGGGGGGGGCATAAGCAGGGAGAGCACATAGGAGCGGCCCTAGTGGGTCAGCCCAAAGGTCCATCTAGCCCAGTATCCTGTCCTCTGACAGTGGCCACTGCCAGGTGCCCCCGAGGGGATGAACAGAACAGGGAATCATGTAGTGATCCATCCCCTGTGCCCATTCCCAGCGTGGCAGGAGCCGGCGGAAGAACCACCACCACAGGGAGGATGCTGCAGAGGGGTGCTGGGGGGGGCACAC